TCGCCCGTGGGTCCGTTGCTCCTGTCGCTGCTGATCAGACGCAGAGCCTGTTACTCCTGTATTCCGGGGCCCTTGCTCCCGGTAGCCACTAGAGCTGCACCAGAGCCGTCTGTTGCCCGTGTGTCTGCAGCTTCAGTCGTCGCCTCCACTCTTCTCTCCTCTCGCCAGCCCTCCTCCTCCTCACTTGCCCTCTGTGACTGCCTCTAGCTTTGCTCATAAAATGTGAACTACTATTATGACTGCTTGTTGTGCTGATTACACCCCACTTTGGCTATGGGGGTGTGTCAGAATGTTGTATTTGTCAGTGATAACGGAATGGAATGGTGGACTAGAAAGGATTGTGAGTACAAATATGAAACCCTAATGTTGTGACCCCCTATAGGCTACCCCACTATAGCCTACACAAATATAACATGTATAATGTTTGACACACCCCCATAGGCAAAGTGGGGGAGAGCAAAGGGTCACAAGACCAGTCAAAGCAAAGCAAAACAAGCTCAGGGTGGATCTCAAGGATACCACACAAATTCCGAGCACAAGCAAGTGGTCACAAGACCAGTTCACATGCAGGTTGATAATATAACAAGAGATACAGTGATAGCAACCTAGCAAGTGTAAATATGCAGGTATATATATAAAGATCACAGTACAAGCAGAGTCAAGAGGTAAGCAAGTGAGGACCAGCAGGCACAAGGCCTAGAAGAGTACAGAAACGCTGATGGTCACAAGGCGGAAGCGCCTTGGTGAACACATCAGCAAGGTTGGCCTCAGTGGCCACGTAACGCAGACAAAGCTGACCACGCTGCTGCAGCTCTCGAGCAAGGAAGTACCGCAGGGCGATGTGCTTCGTTCTGTGCTCCAGTCTGTGCTCCTCACACAAGGCAATGGCAGCCTGGTTGTCGACGTACAGCACTGGAGGAGAACGAGGCCGCTCGCCCAAGTCGGTCAGCAGGTAGGTCAGCCAGCGTAGCTCCTGGGCAGCCATGGCTGTGGCGTAGATCTCAGCCTCACAACTGGAGCTGAGAACAGAAGAAGAGCGTGTAGAACGCCAAGAAACTGAGCCGGAGCCAAGGCTGAAGGTGTAACCCTGAGACGACCGCTGAGTAGCCTGGTCGTCCGCCCAAGAAGCGTCTGAGTGTCCAGTAAGTACAACTCGGTCTCGCCCTCCAAGCACTAGCCCCATGCCCGACGTACTGCACAAGTAGCGCAACACCCTCTTAGCGGCATCCATGTGCTCCTTCCTGTGACGGCCAGGAGCGACATAGCGTGCAAGGATGCTAAGAGGGTATGCAAGGTCAGGTCGAGTGCAGGTCATCAGGTACATGAGGCAGCCCACAAGCTCTGGATACGGGCCACTCGGCTCTACGGACTCATCCGAAGGCAGAGCTGAGAGCGAGTGACCGGTAGGCAGAGGAGTGGACTGGGGCGAGGAGTACGTGAAGCGGAAGCGCTGAAGGATCTGCTGCACCATGTGTGACTGAGTCAAGGTGATGGTGCGCCGTGCTCTGTCCCGGGTGATCCGCAAGCCAAGATAGCTTGTCAGTTCACCCAGGTCTGTGCACGTGTGTCTCCTCTGCAGCTCCGACTTCACGTGGGCGAGTGCCGCGGTGTCAGCAGTGGCAAAGACCAAGTCGTCGACGTACACGAGGATGTAGAACGGCGGCAGCGAGGTGTCTGTGCGTAGAAACAGTGACGGGTCAGCAGTAGAGGGAGCGAACCCAAGAGCCGCAAGTGTCGTCCTCAGTGTGTCGTGCCACTCACGCGGTGCCTGGCGGAGACCGTAGACCGGCCACTGAAGCCTCCACTGGGTACCAGGAGGAACCGACCCAGTGAAGCCAGGTGGGCGGCGCAGCCAGATCTCCTCGTGCAGGCTGCCCTGCAAGAAAGCAGTGCTGAAGTCAAGTGAGTGAAGCTCGTAGTCGCGCTGAGCGACTATGTGCAGCAGCATCCGAAGAGTGGTCATCTTCGGGGTGGGGGAGAAGGTCTGGAAGAAGTCAACTCCCTCTCGCTGACTGAAGCCTCGAGCCACGTAGCGCGCCTTGAAGACAGGAGGAGAACCCGGTGGCCGCTTCACCCTGAAAATCCACATGCCACTGACGATGTTCGCCCCAGGTGGGGGAACCTCGTCGACGTAGGTGCGTGTGGACTTCCAGGAAGCCATCTCTACGTCCATGGCTGTCTGCCACTGAGAGGAGTAGGGACCCACCATCGCCTCAGCGTAAGTGCGCGGGGTCGGGATGTCTAGTGCATCCGGGTCTCCCTCAGGGGCAACTAGCATGGACACGAGGTGGGGTAAAGCAGCAGCAAAGCACTGGAACTCCTCCTGTCTGTCCTCAAGGACGTCCGTGCCAAGAGCACACTCACCCCCGACGGACGGAGGACAGACAGACTCAGACTCAGACTCAGCAACAAGGCTAGTGGCGTAGTCTAGACGACACCGGGCAGCAAAGTCTATCAACTCAGCGACCAGAGCAGACGCAGCAGAGGACTCAAAGGTAGGGTCAGTGACAACAGTAGCGAGGAGACGGGTGACAGTGGGACTGGCAGCACGACGGGAGTCAGACTCCGGGTCAGGAAGAGTAGGTAGAGAGGACGCAGGAGGAGACGGCAGAGGGACACGCTGAGGAGCAGTAGAGCGACGCAGAGTCATGTAATGAGTGCCAGGGACAGGAGGAGGACGCTGGCGTGGGACACGACGACCAGTGCACGCAGTACGAACAGGCGACGCAGGACGAGACTCAGGCTCACGACGCTCTGTAAGAACTCCTTTGGGACCAGCGTAAGGAGAGGGAGCAGGGAGAGGCGAGTCAGGCGGTAACTGTGACTGCGGCTGGACAGGCGGAGGACACTCTACGGAGGGAGGAGGACAAGGAGGAGGAGCCTGACCAAGAACCTGCTGAAGAAGTGGGACGAAGTACGGTCGCGGCCGCGCAGCATCTCCAGAACCAGCAGAGACACCAGCGGCAGGGTCCGCAGCACCAGCAGCAGCTCCAACGTCCGGGTCCTCAGCACCAGCAGCAGCTCCACCGGCCGGGTCCTCAGCACCAGCAGCAGCACCACCGCTCGGGTCCTCAGCTCCAGCAGTAGCTCCAACGTCCGAGTCCTCAGCACCCCCAGACTCAGTACCCCCAGACTCAGCACCTCCAGGCTCCGCACCTCCAGGCTCCGCACCTCCAGGCTCAACACCCCCAGGCTCCGCACCCCCAGACTCAGCACTCCCAGGCTCAGCACCCCCAGACGCAGCACCCCCAGGCTCAGCACCCCCAGACGCAGCACCCCCAGGCTCAGTACCCCTAGCAGGACGAGAGTCAACAGCTACCTCGACAGGCTCACCCGGGTCTACCTGGGACACACCTGAGGGAGCGGCACCCTGAGGGGGGAGGGGGTCTGGTACCTCAGCACCTGGAGCGAGGAAGAGAGGCGGGGGGGGGGGGGGCAGTGCGGTAGGGGAAGAGGCGGTAGTAGGGGACGGACTCGTCAAAAGTGACGTCCTGAGAGGCAAGGACACGACGCGAGGTGGCGTGGTAGAACTGCCAACCAGGCGCGTCCGGGACAAAGCCAAGGAAGACACAGGGGACAGCGCGACGGGAGAGCTTGTCCGCGGACAAAAGCTCGAGATCCCCAGACCCGAAAACGCGACGCATCGCCAGCCTCTCCCGTCCAACGCAGTGTCGGAGAAGTCTCAGGCAAGGAGACACGGGGCCAGAGGTTGAGCTGATGCGCAGCGTATCGGACCGCAAACGGCCACAGAAAATGGGGGGCAGCCGCATGACTCAAGGAGGTACGAGCGACCTCCATGACTAGACCAATGCGGCGCTCAGCAACCCCATTCTGCTGTGGAGAGTCCGGAAGCGTGAACGACTGCTCAATGCCCTCCTGCTGACAGAAGGCCTCCAGGAGGCCAGAGGAAAACTCCCCACCTCTGTCAGAGTGCAGACGCAGGATAGGAAAGTCGGAGCAGAAACGCCTGGTGAGCTGGAGACGAGATCTGCGGATCCAAGGGATCAAGACATCAGGGACGTCACCCTTGGCTCGCAAGGGGAAGACCGTGGTGTAGCGCGAGAAGTCGTCAACAACTAGCAGGAAGTACCGCTCCTGACCCTGTCCACGGACGCGGGCTGGGCCCCACACGTCCAAGTGGAGCGTCTGCAAGGGAGCAGTCGTCGGGGGAAAGGAGGAGGAGTGAGGAGCGGCGCGCTGCCGCCCCTCGACACAGGGAATACAGGGAGGAGCAGGCGAGTCGGGAAGGGGAGGGAGCACCCTGGGAAGACCAGCAACAAGGTCCCGTTTGTGCATGGCCCGAAGGCGCTGCACAGACGGGTGACCAAGGCGGTGGTGCCAAAGGACAGTCTCATGCGTCAGAGAGCGACACGAGCAGGGGGCGGACAGCTGACCTGACGCAGACGCAGACGTAGACGCAGACGCAGCTACCTGAGGGGACTCAGTGGTCAGTGTGTACAGGTCCGACCCCGGCTCTCGAGTGAAAGTAGCCAGGTGGCAACCCGTCCGAGCACACGTGCAGTGTGTCACGCGCTCGTAGGCAGGAGTGAACTGGTGAACACCCGAGTCCTGGAGCGCACAACCCGCCACCAAGTTCGTAGAGAACGAGGGGAGGTAGAGACCTGAAAGTGTGCCGGACGGGACCGCAGGACAAGGAAGAACAGTGGAGGAGGTCGCAATGACCGGACCCCCAGAGGGGTCAGCAAGGGAGACAACAACTGGCCGAGCGAGTGGCTCAAGGACAGTGCGGTCACGAAAGAAAGAGCGAGAGGCACCTGAGTCCAGTGTGAAGGTGTGCAGTGCTGCAGTCGACTCAGTACCAGGGGGCACGGACGCACTAGCACCTAGGGCAGCAGCCTCACCAGGACCTGTGGGAGCAGACGCACTAGCACCTAGAGCGGAACTGGCCTGAATGCCCGGGTCGGGCGGAACACGCAAGTACTGAGCACCCTCTCCACTAATAGACATGGCATACATGGCAGTGAGAATAGCATCAAAGTCTAGAGCCCAAATATCGACACCCCTCTTTTCCAGATCAGCCCAGCGCGGCAGCTCAGTGGCATCAGGAAACTGGGTGCGCCACGCGTCGTTAAGGCGCGCGAAGCAGCGCTGCGTGGGGTGCGGCCTCCCACACTGCTGGCCGCTGCGGTCACCTGTGCGAATGACGTACGTGCAGGTAGAGCTACGCTGCGCATACCACTCACGGGCGGCCTGAAGCGTCGGGGCGGGCTGCTGACTCTGGCCTCCGCCAGTGCCTCCACGACCACCACCGCCACCACCACCGCCTCGGCCACCTCCACCCCTGCCGCCGCCACGACCACCTCCACCTCCGCTGCCGCCTCCGCCCCTGCCACCGCTCCCGCCGCTGCTGTCTCCTCCCCCACTGCCGCCACTAGCCTCCCCAGTCGCGCCTCCACTCCCACCGCCTCCACCCCCACCTCCTCCGCCACCACCCCCACCCCTGCCTCCCTTGCTCCTGCGGCGCCCGCTCGAAGCAGACGCGGTCCCGACCTTCTCAGCACCAAGGAGGTCGACAGCAGCAGCAGAGGGGAGGAGAGGGGAGGAGGGGGGAAGGGGAACACCCCTCGAAGAACGGGGTGCGGGGGTCGCCACGAGAGGTGCCTACAGCGACGATGCTCGCCTCAGCTGCAAGCAGTTCCTTCTCGAGGAGGGCAACAGTGAGCTCAGTGGGGGAGCGAGAGAGGAAGTGGTCCCTGACTGCGCGCAGAGAGTCAGGGAGGCGGGTGACGATGTGGTAGAGAGTGATCCAGAGCGGGGGGGGGTTGCTAGTGAGAAACTCGGCAGGCATAGCAGCGCGAAAGCGGGCCTCACTAGTCTTAAGGTGGGTGATGAGGTCTGCGACAGTGTGAAAGGAGGCTAGGTCGGGGAACAGGTAGGGGAGAGTGAGGCGGCCTAGCGTAGCAGAAGCGGGTGAGGAGTAACGGGCAACTACAGCGGTGTAGAGGTCCTTAGCAGTCTTGCACTGGCCGAAGTGCTCGCGCTCGTCTAGCGGCAGGGAGTTGCGAATAGCGAAGCGAGCGTGCGCATCACGAGTCTGCCACTGAGAGCGTAGAGTGCTGTCAGCAGACGTGTCAGGGGCAGTAGCATGGCCTAGGGCGTGGTCGTACAGCGAGATGTCTTCCTTGGCAGTGAGCTGTAGGAACAGGTGCAGGTCATCTAGCCAGGTTTCGAACTTCACCGGACGGCCCTCGGCATCGAAAACTAGAACGGGAGGACTAGCCATAGTGACAGTAGTAGGAGTAGGAACTAGGCCGCTGGAAAGGTGTGCGTAGGGTCAACGGGGCCGGCGGGGCCGCTAGGTAAGGCGCGGGCGGGGTCGACTGTCCGTAGTGGCACACGAGCGGCAGTAGTAGGGAGCGTGGCAGCAGGAGCTGCAACGGCGCACTGGTGGCAGTTGCAGTGGCAGCAGTGTGCGCGGTAGGTAGAAAAAACAGTGGGAGCGAGCGCCTCGCGGGCGGCGGCTACAGAAGCGCACGGGCGGCAGCGGCTGCGAGCGGTGCACAAGTAGCAGCGGCAGCAGCACTCGGGCAGCAGCGGCGTATGTGCACGGGCGGCAGCAGCAGCGGCGCACGAGCGGCAGCGGCGCACGGGCAGCGGCGGCGCACAGGCAGCGGCGGCGCACGGGCAGCGGCAGCGTAGGAGCAGCGGTGGCGCTCGTGCGGCGACGGCGGAGGCGGCGGTGCGCAAGCAGCAGCGGAAGCAGCGCACGGGCGGCAGCTGCGTATGCGCACGTGCGGCAGTGGCAGCGGCGCACGGGCGGCTGCGGGCAGCGGGCGTGCGGCCTCTGCGACGGCGAGCTGCGGGCCTGCGGGGCGTGCGCGAGCAGGCGACGGGCGGCTGCGGGGCGCAGCGGGTGCGTCAGCAAGGCGCACAGGGCAGCGGCGGGCAGTGCGCGAGGCCACGAGGCGCACGGGCAGCAGCGCAAAGGCGCGCGGGCAGCGGGGAGGCAGCGCGACGGGCCGCGCGCGAAGAAAATAAAGCGCGCGCGGGCAGCTGGCGGGGCGCACGCGTGAAAACGGCCGCGCGCGAGCGGCTAGTACGGCGCGCGCGGTAAAAAAAAAGGAAAGCCACGCGCGGGCGGCTAGCGAGCTGCGTGCGCGTGGTAGGTAGGTAAGGAGCGCTCTAGGACGCGCAGGCGCACGAGGCGCACAGTAGGTAGGTAGGTAGGTAGGTGGGCCCTAAGAACAGTCCTAGCAACGGACCTGCTCTGAAACCATGTCAGTGATAACGGACTGGAATGGTGAACTAGAAAGGATTGTGAGTACAAATATGAAACCCTAATGTTGTGACCCCCTATAGGCTACCCCACTATAGCCTACACACAATATAACATGTATAATGTTTGACAGTATTTGTCTAGCCTGCAGTGGGGTACTCTATAGCGAGTACAGCCCAATCTAGGGTTTGCTATTTGTATCTCAACTGCTGCTAGTCCAAACCCCTCTTTCTGTTTCTAAACTTTGCCTACTACTTCTGACAAGAGCTCACGGAGAGTAGGAATCCGAAACGGCTCATGCACATCTAAAGAGCATCGCGAGTTTCTGTAATCCAGCTATTCTTCACCCCGCCTTCCATTGTTATTTCTCAAACCGCGAAAGCAGCCTCATAGATCAGCAACTGACAGTTTGCGCGGAGTGGCAACCATGTTGAAATAGTAGGCATAACCTAGGACTAGGAGCCTAGGGTTTAGGGTACACGAAAGAGAAATAGGAGAAGGGGTTTGAACTAGAAAGGAGAGGGGTACAAATAGCAAGCCCTAAAAGGGTTATACTCACTATTGAGTACCCACTAGACTAGACAAGCATTATGTTCTGACACACCCCCATAGTCAAAGTGGGGTACAATCAGCACAACAAGCAGGCTAGAGAATATCAGAGAGGGCAAGTGAGGAGGAGGAGAAACTGTGGGGGCGAGAAGATGGGAGGCGACGGCTGAAGCTGCAGACACACGGGCAACAGGAGTGCGCAATACTGTGGCTACCAGTGGCCGCAGCCCTGGACTACACGGCCACAGACGCAGCTGGCTCGCTATGCTACCAGGAGTGTGCAGTACTGTGGCTACCAGTGGCCACAGCCCCGGACTACACGGCCACAGACGCAGCTGGCTCTCTGGACTACAGGCGCTGCGGACGACAAGACGGCTGCCTCCACTCAACTTCCTCCAGCTGTCCCACACCCCTGACACACACCCCTGTTTCACCTCTAGCACTGCTTATACGCCACCCCCCTCGTACCACTCCGACGGCTCCAACACATCCACCCCCCTCAGCGGCAGCTGCAGTAGTGGGAGACGGAGGAGGAGGAGGAGCAGGGGACGGCTCACACACACGGCACCCCCATACCCTCCACCCCCAAACCCTAACACAGGAACGCGGGCAGTAGCGGGGGTGGGGCGCCGGCAGAAGCTCGGGGGACGGACGAGGCGCACCGTGAGAGTACGACGGCTTTGCTATGATTTACTAGCTTGATTATGCTTTCTTATGCATTATCTAGCTTAGCTTTATTTTGCTTGCTTTTGCTAGATTTCCTAGGTTCGTTGCTTTACTATATTTATTATAGTTATAGGCACCGAACTAGGTTGAGTGCACCGAATTCTAGGCTTTTCGGTTGCCACCGAATTGCCTTCTACCGAATTCAGGAAGGACCCGTTCGGGACGCTTCGCGACCCGCGGAACCTTCTAGTAACACCAGGGTTACTGCCTTTGTGTCGAGCCTATATATAGCCTCGACTTGTACCCAAGTGCATTATTCAATAGTTCAATCTTTCCTGAACCAGATCCTCACACTTGGTAATCAGAGCGGGTTTACACGCGAGGTCTTCAACCGCTTAGTTTCGGCCTTTAAAAACCGCGGGGGCGACGACGAACGCGCCGATACGGGTATGTAAAACCAGTTCCGCGCGAATTTTTCTAAGTCCCCCTCGATTCGGTTTTGAACACCCCTCAGGAATATTGGTGAAAAGGTTGGAATTTCAACCGTTCGATCGATTCGAATCTCAACGACCCAGAAATTTTCGCCCAGAAAAGTTGGAATTTGGAGCGTCGGATCGAATATTTCTTAAACGGCCTAAATCGAACGCGAATTTCGTCTAGGAGAGAATTGCGCGACCTACAGAATTCGAGCCCGTTGATTCTATAGTCGATTCGACTCGCAGTAAGTCGACCAGTCAGAATCACTAGGCAAGAATGATTGAAAGGAGAGGGGTTGAACTAGCAGGCAGTTGAGTACAAATAGCAAACCCTAGATTGGGCTGTACTCGCTATAGAGTACCCCACTGCAGGCTAGACAATAATAGCATTCTGACACACCCCCATAGCCAAAGTGGGGTGTAATCAGCAGAGCAAGCAAAGCAGTACAAGCTCAGGGTGGATCACAATGTCACCACACATTCTGAGCACAAGTTCAAGAAGCAATAGTTTAAAGTTCACAGTTATGAGCAAAGCTAGAGGCAGTCACAGAGGGCAAGCGAGGAGGAGGAGGGCTGGCGAGAGGAGAGAAGATGAAAGGCGCCGACTGAAGCTGCAGACACACGGGCAACAGGAGCGGCGCGCACAGTGGCTACCGAGCGCACGAGGGCACCGGACTACGGGAGTATCTGGCTCCGCGGCTACGACGAGCACACACAGGAGCAACGGACCCACAGGCGACTGGCGAAGCAGGCTCGCTGGGCTACCGAAACGCGCGAGGGCATCCGGACTACTGGCGCTGCTGGCGTCACGACGGCTACCTCCACGCAATCTCCCCCGACCGTCCCACGCCCCTCTCACACACCCCCTGCTGACACCCTAGCTCCACTCCGACGGTACCCCCCTTAAACCCCAAACCCTAGGCTCCCACACACCACCCCCCTCAGCGGCAGCTGTAGCAGAGGGAGACGAGGGAGGAGGAGGAGCAGGGGGAGGAACTCACAACCGACACCCCCATAGCCGCCACCCCCACACTCTTCACCCCCAAACCCTAATTTAGGAGAACGGGCTGTAGGAGGGGTGAGGCGCCGGTAGAAGCACGGGGGACAGTGGAGAGGGCAGGAGCAGCGAGGAACGGGCCGCCCACGGGCCTGGTAGAGCCGCCCGAACCGCGCGCAGGCGGCCCGAGCCGCGCGCGGGCCTGGCGCTTCCCGTACGGGCCGCGCGCGTGCCTGGCGCAGCCCGTACGGGCCGCGCGCGGGCCTGGCGCAGCCCGTACGGGCCGCGCGCGGGCCTGGCGCAGCCCGTACGGGCCGCGCGCGGGCCTGGCGCAGCCCGTACGGGCCGCGTGCCGGGTGTACGGGCCGCGCGCAGGCCACGACGGGCGACGGGGGGCGACGCGCGGGTCCCCGTCGCCCGTCGCAGCGCCTCCCGGGGGCGACGTGCCGAGTGACGGGGCAGGAACCCGCCGCGCGCCTCGGGGCACACGGCGGGCAGAGAACCGCCGCGCGCCTCGGGGCGCACGGCGGGCAGAAAACCGCCGCGTGCCTCGGGGCGCACGGCGGGCTGAAAACCCTAGTTTCGGCGCGCGGCGGACAGGGAGTAGCAGTAGCAGTAGCAGTAGCAGCGGAAGGCTTAGGTGGTGGGCCCACCCACAGGATCGACCCAGGAGGGTCGACCTGCTCTGATAGCATGTCAGAATCACTAGGCAAGAATGATTGAAAGGAGAGGGGTTGAACTAGCAGGCAGTTGAGTACAAATAGCAAACCCTAGATTGGGCTGTACTCGCTATAGAGTACCCCACTGCAGGCTAGACAATAATAGCATTCTGACAGACCAGCACCCATAATTTAATATTTCTCGTCGCGCATCTTTCTGTATATCGCCAATAGGGAGGGAAATAGAGATTTATTCATACGAAAATTCGCGGAGTTACGTGCTGAGCATAAGCAGATATTTGTGGCACTCCCACGACTCAAAAAACTCCTTGCGAACCAATCGGTAGCCGCAGCAGCAGCAGCAGAAGCGACGACGGCGACACCGATAATTGTACCTGCGACAACGGCAGCACCCACATTTAATTTCGAAGCAGTAAAGCCGAGGCGACCAGACGCGTTCGATCCTAGAGCGAAAGGGAGCGACGTCCGTCGATTTGTAGCTGTACTAGAAAATTTCTTCGAAGCCGTTGGATGCACGACCCTCAACCAAGACGCATTGCGCATACGGCTCGCAGCAACACTGTTACGAGGCCCAGCTCTAGAGTGGATTAGCAATAGATTTGTCCAAGGCGAAGAGACGTGGGCGCAGTTTTGGGCAGC